TAAACTTCTGGCCAAAGTTGACCTATATTTGTATAGATGAGGGCATGTGACCTAAGCTGAATTAATCATAGTCCTTCCCCAAGATTTTTCAAACCAAAATTAAGAGAAAAGAAGAAATCTCTCTCAGGAGGTGATGAAATTGGGCATCTTAAGGCATGAGAGCTGCCAGCAGCCATGTGCCCTGCATTGTGGGGGAAGCTGGTCTGAGAGAACTAAGCCAAGATACAGACAGAAGCAGACGTTAGAAACAGAGAGAAGACTGAGCACCCTGGCGCCATCAAGTCCCCGGTTCCAGTTGTCCGTGACGATTGCCACACTCCTGCCTTCCTCTTGGGTTCATTATAAGCCTTCCAGTAAATTCCCCTGTATACCTACGTTAATTCAAGCTGTTTTTCTACAACCAGGAGCCAAGGATATTCTACATAATACACCAAACAAACTCCAAGGTAACAAATTTGACTTCTTGGGGGTAGGGTCCAGGAATACTGTAAGAAATTCCAATGTATCCGCAGCAAACTTAGCATTACTCAACAGACTGACATGTAAGAATGACACTATTTAACACTTTCTTCACTGCCTTCTTTACTGAGAATAAGCCTTGTCTTTTCATGAGACAGTAAATTTCTTGTTTTTTTAGTGAATTTGCTTGGCTCTTAGCACAAGCCATGAATGCAGATGTGCAGTGGGTATATTCTAAACTAAAAACATGAAGACTGGGATACTATAATTGCCACATGATCCTCTGGAATATCATCAGCTCCAAGGAAAGGAGGTTTTCTGTTCTGGAAAAATCCATCTCAGGATAGTGATGGTTGTGTAGTAAGACAGCACTAACAAAATGGAGAAAATTATTACTAACGTGATTATTTGTTACCAAAAGATACATATCTGTGGATAGATTCAAAGGATCCAAGAGACCAAAAAGGGATTGGGGTAGCTACAGAGAAGGCAGTTTTAATCTCAAATGAAGGATCTGACTCAAAAACTCAGCAAAGAAAATCTAGCTTTCCCCAAGGATTGGGTCTTAGATGAGGCTGCCAGGAATTCAAAATTTAAAAGGCAGGAAATGTAAAATCTAATCTGTGTTAAATGTATTAAACTGCATTTGGAATAAAGCCATACACCTGTAAATCCCTCTTCCTACGTTTACTGTACCCCTGCAACAAAATATTTTTGAATTTAAACTAAGTGACCAGTTTGCTTGGGGCTGGTGACCCTCTATGGAGGGAACCTGAGAGACAAGGGTTGAGCTCAGAATCCCCTGCCCAAGAGAAGGCCCTAACCACCCTCAAATGATGGAAGTAGAAGTAAATATTGAGAGAGCCCTGCTTTAGATCTTTAGCTTCATCCACACAGCACACACTCCAAGGATGTCACTGACTACCAGAACTCAGGAAGAGATTGATTTTCAATACAGTAACTACAGTAAAAAAAGTAAATTCATTCTAACTCCTTAAAGCTGATGTCTATGCCCCTAACTAGTTCTAACTGAAATAAAAAGAAAAAAAATGAAGCTGGTTATTCTCTGCATAATTTTAAACTCTTAGAAGCTTATATATTCATTTTCTTTATTTGTTTTACACAGCTATTTAGCACAATGCATGAACTTAATAAATGCTAATAATGGAAGAAAACGAACCAAATGCAAATTCTTAATTGCAATCACTACTTAAACAGCTAGGTTCTAGACACCAACTTTCTTTTTCTCTCTCTCTCTCTAAACGTAATTCCTTTTTATTTATTTTTGGCTTTGGTTGGAGTGTTGTAAGTGAGAAATGTTCAGATGATATAGTGAATGTAACAGATTAGGAAAATTCGCTTTTAATTTTTTTTCTTTTTCTGTTTTTTTTTTTAATTTTTTGTTTATTGCAGTAACTGGTTTATAACATTGTATAAATTTCAGGTGTACATCATTATATTTCTATTTCTGTAT